TGAAGGGGGGTTGACTGGAAAGCGCCACAAGGGAACTTTCTAGGATAAGAGGATAGGTATGCTCTGTATCCTGATCAGATTGATAGTGATACAAATGTGTACATTTGTAGGCTGGGAGCAGTGGCTCACACATGTAATCCTAGCACTCTGGAAGGCCAAGGCAGGAGGATTGCTTAAGGCCAGTAGTTCAGACCAGCCTGAGCAAGAATGAGACCCTGTCTCTACAAAAAACAGAAAAGTCAGCCAGGCACGTAAGCACATGCCTATAGTCCCAACTACTTGGGAGGCTGAGGCAGGAGTTTAAGGTTGCTGTGAGCTATAATGACACCACTGCACTCTAGCCGGGTCGACAGAGTAAGAGTCTGTCTCAAAAATAAATAAATAAATAATAATTAAAAAAATGTGTACATTTGTGAAATGTGATCAAACTACATATCTTATTAAGCACTTTATTGTATGTAAGTTATGCCTCAGTTTAAAAGACAGAATATCAATGACGGAAAAACGTGACAGAAAAATTTCATTTGGTTAAAGTAGCCAGTCATCTAAGTTGTGATTATCCACCTAAATAAAATGTAAATGTTGGTAGTTAAAAAAAAATTACTGAAGAAAATCCTGTCACTTGCTGCAAGATGAATGAACCATGAAGACATTATGCTAAGTGAAATAAGGCACTCATACAAGGACAAATATTGTTTGATTCCATTTACATGAGGTACCTAGAATAGTTAAATTCATAGAGACAGAAAGTAGAATGGTGGTTACCAGGAGTTGGGGGAGGGAGGAATGGGAAATTATTGTCTAATGAGTACAGAGTTTCAGTTTGGGAAGATAAAAAAAGTTCTGGAGATGGATGGCAGTGATGGTTACACATTAATACGAATATACTTAATGTCAAAGAACTGTACACTTAACATTGGTTAAAATTTTTATGTTACGCATATTTTATCAAAGTTTTTTAAAAACAAGGTAAAAACTCTAAAATCTAGTCTTATCATCTTATTGCTTGGATCAAAGGAACTGTGGAGATCTGCCTTACCTACATTCTTTGAAAAGAATGAATCATTTCTTTCCAAATCCTTCTGGGTATAAGCCAAAGGAAAACACTCTACACTTTTTTCTCATTTTATTTCAAATCTTAGATCTAGTATGCTCTCATTACAGAAATCTATGATGTTTGCTTCCTTTAGAGAAATGGGCCTTAATCATTTTGGGGTTACAGATGACTTTGAAGAATCTGATAAAAGCCACTGATCACTATTCTCCATTGAAGGGTAATGAAGCTGCTTCATTTAGTTCATATGTTAGGCTCTCAAAAGTTTTTATTTTGAGAGGAACAAGGAACCATATGTGATTGAATTACAGGCAGATGGAGGCAAGTCAGGAAGAGTGTGTGAAGCTTCTGCCCACCTGCACCATCAGTCGGGCACCAACAAATCCAAATTGAGAGACATTCTTCACAAAACAGCCAAGCCATCTTATGAAAGTACAAGGGGTCAAAAAAGAAGTAGGAACTACAACGATTTTTGGGAAAGGGGACTTGGGTTGACCAAAGAGAGGAACAACAAATATGTGAGACAACAATGTGCAATCCTGGACTGGGGGTCCCAGGATATGTATGTAAACAGCCAATGTGGCCCTGTTACTTGGGCTCCTGGAGAGAAACAAAGAACATTATAGGAAAACAGGTGAAATTCACATAAGGGTATATTAAATATGTAGTCAGTGCGTAGTGCTTTATGGAAGGCCATTCCTACTGCCTCATACTTCATTTTTTGTATTTTTCTATCAAAAACATTACTTTTACAATGAGGGATAAATTATTTGCTTATTGGTTTCCTTTCTGTTCATGTTTTTATTCAAAAATTACATCAGGAGCTGAGCACACGCCAGGCACCCCCCCCCCGCCCCCCCCCGTGGTTCGTTACCTTTATATCCCTAGCACTTTGGCCTGGACGGTGGGTGGCTCACGCCTGTAATCCTTGCTGTAATCCTTGCACTCTGGAGAGGCTAAGGCAGGGAGGATCGGCTCAGGTCAGGGGTTCGAAACCAGCCTGAACAAGAAGCAAGATCCCGTCTCTATTAAAAATAGAAAGAAATTAATGGCCCAAAACTAAAAATATATAGAAAAATTTAGGCCAGGCATGGATGCTCAGTGCTCATGCCATTGTATCCCAGCTAACTGCAGGAGGGCCTGAGGCAGAAGGATTGCTTGAGCCCAGGGAGTTTGGAGGGTTGCTGTGAACTAGGCTGACGCACGGCCACTCACTCTAGTTCAGGCAACACATAAGACTCTGGGTCTCAAAAAAAAAAAAAAAAAAAACCTAGCACCTTTGGGAGGCCTGAGGATGGGAGGAATGCTTCAAGCCAGAACGTTCAAGATCAGCCTGAGTAACATAGCAAGGAGATTCATCTCCACAAGAGAATGGAAAAAATTAAGCTGGGTGTTGGCTGGCATGCTTCCAGTAGTCCCCAGCCACTCACGGAGGGCTGAGCAGCGAAGGATCACTTGAAGCCTAGGATTTTAAGGATTGCGCAGGGTGATCCTGTGATGATTGCCCACTTGCACTCTATGCCCAGGCAACAGAGGCAAGACCCTGTCTCAAAAGGGAAAAAAAAAAAAAAAAAGAGCTGAGGCATAAAACAGGTATGCAAGTGATAACTTTCCTTACTGTCTTTTTGCTTCCCCCACACACCTGTCTCAGCTCTTGCTTTGAGCATTCTTTTTAGCACAACTGCATTCATTTATATTGAAAAAGGTATGGACACCATGATTATTATGTGAAGAAGAACTCAGGCTCAGTGGTCAAGGGCCCTGTTACTCTGGCTCTGCATTAGGGAAACAGGGATTATGGGGTGACTTCTAATTTTTTTTTTTTTTTTTTTTTTTGAGACAGATCTTGTTCCTGTAGCCTTGGCTAGAATGCAGTCGCATCATCATAGCTCACTGCAACCTCAAAATTCCAAGGCTCGAGCTATCTTCCTGCCTCAGCCTCCTAAGTAGCTAGGACTACAGCTGGGACTAGCCACCATGCCTGGCCAGGTTTTTTCTATTTTAGTAGAGACAGCATCGTCCCTCTTGCTCGGTCTGGTCCTACTAAATTTTCAAATAAGGTTTTACAATCAAAATATATATGTATTTTTAAAATAAGTACAAACATACATCCACCCTATGACTTAGCAGTTTCACTTCTAATTATTTACCTAAGAGGAAAAAATAATAAAGTATGTCCAGAATATATATATACACACATGGAATCTCAAAATCATTATGTTGACCCGAAAAAGCTAGACCAAAATAAGAAGTATACATGTAGGATTCCATTTATATGAAACTTGAACAGAAAAAAATTACCTATGCTGAAGGAAATCAGAACAATGCTTCGGGTGGTTGAAGGGGGTTGACTGGAAAGCGCCACAAGGGAACTTTCTAGGATAAGAGGAGTAGGTATGCTCTTGTATCCTGATCAGATTGATAGTGATACAAATGTGTACATTTGTAGGCTGGGAGCAGTGGCTCACACATGTAATCCTAGCACTCTGGAAGGCCAAGGCAGGAGGATTGCTTAAGGCCAGTAGTTCAGACCAGCCTGAGCAAGAATGAGACCCTGTCTCTACAAAAAACAGAAAAGTCAGCCAGGCACGTAAGCACATGGCTATAGTCCCAACTACTTGGGAGGGGCTGAGGCAGGGAGTTTAAGGTTGCTGTGAGCTATAATGACACCACTGCACTCTAGCCGGGTCCACAGAGTAAGAGTCTGGGTCTCAAAAATAAATAAATAAATAATAATTAAAAAAATGTGTACATTTGTGAAATGTGATCAAACTACATATCTTATTAAGCACTTTATTGTATGTAAGTTATGCCTCAGTTTAAAAGACAGAATATCAATGACGGGAAACGTGGACAGAAATTTCATTTGGTTAAAGTAGCCAGTCATCTAAGTTGTGATTATCCACCTAAATAAAATGTAAATGTTGGTAGTTAAAAAAAATTACTGAAGAAAATCCTGTCACTTGCTGCAACATGAATGAACCATGAAGACATTATGCTAAGGGAATAAGGCACTCATACAAGGACAAATATTGTTTGATTCCATTTAATGAGGTACCTAGAATAGTTAAATTCATAGAGACAGGAAGTAGAATGGTGGTTACCAGGAGTTGGGGAGGGAGGAATGGGAAATTATTGTCTAATGAGTACAGAGTTTCAGTTTGGGAAGATAAAAAAAGTTCTGGAGATGGATGGCAGTGATGGTTACACATTAATATGAATATACTTAATGTCAAAGAACTGTACACTTAACATTGGTTAAAATTTTTATGTTATGCATATTTTATCAAATTTTTTTAAAAACAAGGTAAAAACTCTAAATTATCTATGCCTCGGCCTCCCAAGAGCTAGGATTACAGGCGTGAGCCACAGCGCCCGGCCTAAAATCTAGTCTTATCATCTTATTGCTTGGATCAAAGGAACTGTGGAGATCTGCCTTACCTACATTCTTTGAAAAGAATGAATCATTCCTTTCCAAATCCTTCTGGGTATAAGCCAAAGGAAAACACTCTACACTTTTTTCTCATTTTATTTCAAATTTCATCTTAGATCTATTATGCTCTCATTACAGAAATCTATGATGTTTGCTTCCTTTAGAGAAATGGGCCTTAATCATTTTGGGGTTACAGATGACTTTGAAGAATCTGATAAAAGCCACTGATCACTATTCTCCATTGAAGGGTAATGAAGCTGCTTCATTTAGTTCATATGTTAGGCTCTCAAAAGTTTTTATTTTGAGAGGAACAAGGAACCATATGTGATTGAATTACAGGCAGATGGAGGCAAGTCAGGAAGAGGTGTGGAAGCTTCTGCCCACCTGCCTTGGAAACATCCCACCCTCCTCCTCTGGGCCTCAGGGCAATCACCACACTCAGCAAGCCCAGGCTGAATCTATCTGCCCACCTAGACAGAACCAGGAGGCACCAGCACTACCCATGCAGCTTACCTCATACTAGGAATGGCGTGGTAGCCCATTCGGAAGCGGAGTTTGCTGGACCCAGCAAAATCTGCAATCACCTTTTCTCCCACAGTGTGCATGTGTTTGAGGAGTTCAAGGTGTTCCCTGGTTACAGCCTTCAGACTGGAAATGGAGGCCCATGGTAAGACCAGCCAGTGATGACGGGCCTTAGGATACTTATCCTTAATCACCACCACATGCTCATCTTTGTAAACCTAGCAGAAGGGCACGAGAGAAAGAAACAGACATCTGCTAAGAATCTTCTGTGTGCCAGGTGCTGTCATAGTCATTAAGTCACTGAATTCTCACAACAATCTTATGCAAATGGTTTTAGTATCCCAGTTTTGAGAGATGAGAGCACTGAGACTCAGATAAGTTGAGTGTCTTACACAAGTCACATAGTAAGTGGGAAACCTGGGATTCCAACCCAGATCAAGTTGACTCCAGAGTCTGTTTTCAACCACCACATTATACAGAATACACAGAAAATGCAGAGAACAAAATAGTTCCCAAGGATCTGCTATAAAAAGCTCTACAAGCATAGATTCAAATGCATCCTTCTCCACTCTAACATAGCAGACTGTGTGACACATACACACATGTTCTGAGGAGCCCTATCAGAACCAGCCCCTTGTTAACCAGGATGTATTCAAAGCTGAACTCAAAGGCTTCTCCAAGGATGACACATGATTATTAATCCCAGGGCAGTGCAGCACTACAGTCACAATACATTATCTCTGATGCTCCCTTGGAAAGGACCACACTGAGGTTAACACACTTCCCTTAATAATACTCAGATGTTTAAAAGGGACAAGGCAGAGGGGATATTCATTTGAAGAACTTAGCTTTCCTCCAAAGAATTCCAGTTGCTACCTTATTATCACTGGGAAAAGCCACTTGTTTTCACAGAATAGCCCAATAAAATGAATTTTATTCTGAAGGACTGATAACCTTTGATTTCATTTGTAATCGTGACCTCTGTGGAATGGTCATTTACAATATGAAATGTACTTAAATTTCAAAATTTTATTCTGACCTGCATTTTGGGGTCCTGCATAGATATCTTCAAGCCTTGACTCCAATGGCCTAGTGATTCCTAAACAAAAAAAAGGGCAACGTAAATTACAAAGCCAATAAGGGCAACGTAAATTACAAAGCCAATAATTAAATTTGGCAATAGTTAATTATATGATAGCAAAGTACAACCAAACTTGGAAATAAGATCGTTTTTGAGAATTTTTTTCTTTTTTCTTTTTTTTTCACTTCAGCATATTATGGGGGTACAATTTTTTTTTTTTTTTGAGACAGAGTCTCACTCTTTGCCCCAGGTAGAGTGCCGTGGTGTCAGCCTAGCTCACAGCAACCTTAAACTCCTGGGCTCAAGCAATCCTTCTGCCTTAGCCTCCCGAGTAGCTGGGACTACAGGCATGCGCCACCATGCCCAGCTCATTTTTTCCATATATTTTTAATTGGCCAGTTAATTTCTTTCTATTTATAGTAGAGAGGGGGTCTCACTCTTGATCAGGCTGGTTCTGAACTCCTGACCTTGAATGATCCTCCCGCCTCAGCCTCCCAGAGTGCTAGGATTACACGCATGAGCCACCACGCCCAGCCTGCTTTTAAGAATTAAACTGGACCACCTTTACTTCAATCCATTGCCTTTTAGGACCATAAGCCCCCTCCACTGCCTTCCTATATTCAGAGCTGGTTGTCTAGACAAAAACCATAAATGCCAGAGCATGAGTCGTAACTTCTTTGCCTTCTCACACTACAACTACAGCCTGACTGAGTTCCACTTTGACAACAGCATGTGAATTACTATATGATCCATAACAACCTTCTACAGCTATATAAACAACTGACCCATTTTAGTTGTTCAATGTAAAGTACACTGCCATTATTGCCCTACCTTCAAGTGGCTCACCTCAGGAATTCAAGAGAAAAGCACATAAAGGGACAGTCATCCAAGTGATTATCATGCCACAAACAAGTGACTCTTTCATCATGTTTAATAACCTCTCACACATGCCTGGGCTTTACAGTGTACAAACAATTAACCAGTCATTATATCTCATTTATCTCCACATCACCTACCAATCGCACTTACCCTCACCTTTTTGGTAGGTGCATCTTTCTCCTTCTTTGCGGGCACAGAGCATTGGCTCAGGCTGCTCCCAGGTTTCAGCCCTGTCCCAGGCTCAGCTTCCTGGGCAGCATCCCTTTCTATAGAATCACTGTTGCCTGATCTCTTTCTCTTCCTGTGTGTTTCCAGGCCAGGGCACTCTGCCTCTTCTTCAAACTCTACAATATATGGATAAAGTTCATTCACCATGTGGAGAACCTGGCCAGGCTGCAGCTTCAACTCTTGGTCCTTCCCAATTATGACTGAGTCAATGCTGGTGGGATTGACCCCTACCTAAAAGACAAATAACCAGAAAATAATTATAATAATGGCAATAACACCAATAGTAATATAGACATTGCTAGGTTAACCACTTACTATATGCCAGGCATCTTGCTTATTGTTCACCTATATTACTCCATCACTTCCACACAAGACAGAGAAGCCTTCGTTGGCTGGGACAGACACTCTGAAGCCAACAGCATAAGAAATCAAGTATAAATTGGAAATCCAAGTTACAAACACACATACCTGCTTTACCTTGACATATCCCTTGTTACACTCTGCTTTCAATTGCACTGAAAGAGATTGGAAAAAGTTAAATACAAATGTAACAAAGAACCAAGCACTTGCTCCCATTTTCCCTAAAGGACAAAGGAGTCTCACTGCAGGAGACAGCTAGAAAGATGTCTCCTCACAGACCTGTGAGCAATTGCCTATCATGCAGGTGGCTGGGGCTCCAAATCCCACCAATCTCTAAGAGCTTCAAATCCTTCAATAAAATATCCAACTGCATACAAGCTCCCTTAGCTATTGCTAATATCCTCATGAAGCAGCTTCAGTTAATCCTCACAAGTTTCCCTATTCCAGAGCCTTGGCCAGCTCAGGAACACAGACTCTGCAGCCAGGAAAGACAACCCATTTCTCTCGTAAGCCCTTGGCTCAGGATGAAATCAGGCTTCTACCAGTATTAAAAAAAAAAAAAAAAAAAAAAAAAATCATCAGATACCTTTGACAGAGAAAAAGGTAAAAGATATTTTCCTAGAAAACAGAAATTCAGCTGGCCTTGGGTACGAGTAGAAAGAATGTTCTAGAAAGAAGACTACAGACTACAGAGACAGCACAGTCTGAGCATGTGTGAGAAGCAGTAACATTAAACACTCCTGTTCTGATAAATGAGCAAAGTATCCACGGTTGAGACAGAGAGCACAGAAGAAACACCACAGCTACTCACCAGGAAGGAGAGACTGTTACACATATATGCCTCTCCAGTTGCTGTTGTGAGAAGGGGAACAGAGAGGGAAGCAGCTGCTACTTCAGCATCTTGGGCCTAGACAGCTCAAGCATGGCTTTTTTTTCCCCACTGCAATTAACTCATGTAAGAAAGACCATAACTAGCGCTACAGACTCCAACTTCTTAAGTCTAGAACACTTGGGAAACCCTGCCATTGGGGTCCCACTGCAGGCAGCAGTGAGCATGTCCAAAGTTTAAGGAAAAACAAGGTAAATCCTTTTTCCCTGAAGGCAAGGATTTTCATTTCATTAAACCCTAACAAAAAAAAAAAAAAAAGAGCTAGGCCGGGCACAGTAAGGTGGGTGGATTGCTCAAGGTCAGGAGTTCGAAACCAGCCTGAGCAAGAGTGAGACCCTGTCTCTACTATAAATACAACGAAATTAATTGGCCAACTAATATATGTAGAAAAAATTAGCCAGGCATGGTGGCGAATGCCTGTAGTCCCAGCTACTCGGGAGGCTGAGGCAGAAGGATTGCTTGAGCCCAGGAGTCTGAGGTTGCTGTGAGCTAGGCTCACACCACGGCACTCACTCTAGCCTGGGCAACAAAGCGAGACTCTGTCTCAAAAAAAGAAAAACAAAAAAAACCAAGAACTGGATGCCATAGTCTTATAATGATATTACCCTCTGTGTGAGGCAATCTATAAAGAATGGCACCATCCCATCCTTTCTCATACATGGTTCTCTACATGGTTTCACCTGGCGACTCCAGCTTATCTGTCTTGCTGCCCAGTGGGCAATCTCCCTGGGTAAAGCAGGGTGCGGGATGCAATTCCACCATCCCATGGTAACAGGGTAGAACCCGTCTGCTACCAACCATCACCCACCCTGCCTTGAATGTTACCACGTTGGGAGGACAGAATCAGGAATAGTGCCTTGGGGCTTGCTAAAGGAGCTCAGTTCCTGAGTTTTATTTTTGGCATACATTAGGTGTCCTATCAAGAGCACACAGGAAATGTGCATCTTTGGTTATCACTATCTTACAGAACCAAGCACAGTAATCTCCACATTCCTATGACCAGTTACCTTGTTGACGAGAACATTTCTTATCAGCGATCTTGGTCTCTGGGCCACGCCCAATCACAACTGCTTCCAAATGGGGCAGTTTGATTCGCTGGTGCTGGTTGTCCTGTCTCACCAACCAGCACACCCGCATCTTCACTATGAAAGACAAGAGAATTACTGGAAAAATAGATCCACTAGCACAAGTTCCCCAGGGCCACCCCCCAACACCACCACACATGTGATTTACCAACTGTTCATCTTGAGGCAAGTGACTTCATTTCCCTAGTCTTAATTCCTCACCTATAAACCATAATGACAGGACTCAAGAGGCTGCTGTGAGGATTAAATATGATGATGTGTTTAAGTATTTATCTCCCTGTCTGAACCATGCTAAGCAACCAAATATTTGTTACACATTGATTGATATACTCTATGTGCTGGACATTAGGCTACATGCTAAGGGTCAAACGGGACATAAAACGGGGACATGGACCCTATTCTTGAGGGGCTTGCAGTGCAGTGAGGCAGATTCATATTGAAATATAATTTGTTTAGCCTGTAATCCTAGTACTCTGGGAGGCTGAGGCAGGCAGATCGTTCAAAGTCAGGAGTTCAAAACCAGCCTGAGCAAGAGTGAGACCCGTTTCTACTAAAAAGAAATTAATTGGCCAACTAAAAATATATAGAAAAAATTAGCTGGGCATAGTGGCACATGCCTGTAGTCCCAACTATTCAGGAGGCTGAGGCAGAAAGATTGCTTGAGCCCAGGAGTTTGAGATTGCTGTGAGCTATACTGACACCATGGCACTCTAGCCCGGGTAACTGAGTGAGACTCTATCTCAAAAAAAAAGAAATATAATTAGTTTAAGTGGCCTGTGGAAGGTCCAAGCTTGGGTCAAGCTGAGAGAGAGAGAGAGAGAGAGAGAGAGAGGATAGATAGACACACACACACACACACACACACACACACACACACACACACACACGAAGCTCAGGAGAGAGGAATTGACTAAATGTATATATTTGAGAGTCACCAATATGTCACAGAAGCTGGGGCAAAGAAGGATGAGATCACCCAGGGAGGCATAAAAGGGAATTATGGGCAGGGACAGGACTAGATTTTTGGGATGCCTCCTTAGACTCTAGAACCTTATCAATGCTCAAGCCTCTAGCACTTCTCTCCCAGGAACGTTGTCTATAGTCAAGGCAGCACTTATGTCCTCTGTGCAAGTTTTGTGTCCATAAACAAAGAAAAAAGAAGCCCAATTTTTAAAAATCAGAGTTTCATTACCACCTGGAAAAACAAGACCATGTAAAGTACATTGAGCAAATGAGAGCTGAGGAGGTACTGTTAGGGTGGAATGCCTGGTAAGTGCTCACCATGTGGCTGGATCAAAAAATAATAATAATAATAATATTGAAAGAGAAAGATTTACATCTCTTTTCTATCCATTCAGCTTCCTTCAGAAGTTGTGCAAAACAGAACTGCTACAGGGTGCCTATTAGTGAGAGAACTCATAGGATGAATCTTTAACCTTTACTGGGGAAATTGTGGGATTAGGTATTTTCCTGTTATTTTTGCAAGGCCACTCCTTTCAGTACAAATTCATGGGAAATGGATTGGTGTGAGTACATGCATGCTAAGTAGGTAAAGTCCTTCCTAGTCAGGAAGGCTTCCAGAAACCACCCAGGAGAAGACCTGGAGCCAAAGGGACTGACAAAAAACAAAAAGAAGTGGGAAAGGCATTGCATTTTAAAAAACACAAGTGGCAGCACAGATTTCAGCAATGGCAAGCCATGAGTCCAGGAGCAGAAAGCAGACTTAGTTGGCTAAACCAGAGGAGCTGCCCCAGAGTAAACAAACAAACAAACAAAAAATAGGCAGAGGTGTTGAAAGAACACTAGGCTGAAGTTTAGATTCAACGTAATCAATAGGAGACAAATGCCAGGTTTTGAACATCTCAGTAAGATGAAACAAGAGAATTAAAAGAATACATTGCCAACAGCTATGTGTAGGCAGTCTAGAAGTGGAGAAATCTATAGTCAGATATTAGTCAGGAGACTGTTAATATAATGTGGACCAGAGAGGTCCATAAGGCAAGTTCAGCAGGTTTCTGTGAAAGTGTTGATGCAAGAGCATTAAAAGTCATCTGTAAATCTAAAATCCTAAACCTGGAGCCTAGGCTGGGTGTGGTGGCTCACGCCTGTAATCCTAGCACTCTGGGAGGCCGAGGTGGAAGAATCGCTTGAGCTCAGGAATTTGAAACCAGCCTGAGGAAGAGCAAGACCTGTCTCTACTAAAAATAGAAAGAAATTAGCTGGACAACTAAAAGTATATAGAAAAAATGAGCTGGGTATGGTGGCCCATGCCTGTAGTCCCAGATACTCAGGAGGCTGAGGCAGAAGGATTGCTTGAGTCCAGGAGTTTGAGGTTGCTATGAGCTAGGCTGATGCCATGGCACTCTAGCCCAGGCAACAGAGTGAGACTCTGTCTCAAAAACAAACAAACAAACAAACCTGGAGTCTCAAATCATAATGCTACAGCCAGGCCCCACTTTAAAATGCTATGTGTTCTGAGGGACATCTGTTTGCACTTGTTGGAAACTAATGAAAAAGCATGTAATGGACTGAGAAGTGAGGTATGTCTTCATTAGGCACTGGGAAATAAGTCATGTGCTAACTGACTACTCATGCTGACAATAAGAGAAGCCAGAAGAGAGCACAGTTTGATAGGAGGGACAAGGAAGAATCCAATGGGGAGTGGAGAGCACGGCTGACTGGCGCACAGTAATAGGAACTACCCCTCCTGCCCTCCACAAACACAAGCACACACACTTTACTACCCCAAAGTTCTCAAGTTAAGATGCTCCTATTTACTGTTAGGTTTGTTCTGAGTGAGAACCCGAAAAGTATGTATAGGATGGAATGTAGTTAATGGAAAACTTAGGCTTGTGAAACAATAGCTGCAGGAATCTGGAGAGTCCGGAGGTTGTAAATCTAACTCTGATCTCAGACAGTTGCAGCAATGCTGGCATTCCTATCCCTGCTGATAAGGACCAAGCTACCTCGCCCCCAGTTATGAAGGATGAGAACAACACAGGGGTCCCAGAAACTGGCTGTTTGAGAAGAATTTATTACAGCAGCTGTTCTGGCCCAGTTGCTCACTCCCCCAGAAAAAACCCATTATAAAACCCAAGGCTTTCCCCTCCCTTGTGGTGGATGCTGTTTTAGGCCTCCACCCATCTGTGCCCAGATGCTCAAAATAAACAGCATTTTGCTATGCCTGAGGCTACATGTGACTCCCTCTCGGATCCGGACCTAAAATTTGCTACCCCCTGAGAAGCTGAAGCAGTGACTGCATAATTATTATGCGACTAACTTTAAACAATAGCTTTGCCCTTTTCAATCTCCAGTTCCAACTTCTAAGGAATGGAGTGTTTTAGAATACAGTGAGTACAGAAGGATGGGTATTCCTGAATCTTCAATCCATTCCCTCCAGTGAACTTCATAAACTGGAAACTCTATGATAGCAGAGGTCGTGCCCATTTTTGCTTATCAATATATCGCTAGCACTTAATACAATATTTGGCATACAGCAAGCATACAATAAACATATGCAAGTGAATGATAAGATGATAACCCTATCCAGGTTCTCTTTCTTTTTTTCTCTCTTACCCTCCTTCTTGGGTTCTTCTTAAGTTGGAGTGCTCTGCTCTCCCCTTTGAGCAATTCCATACATCCTCACATGTAGATGGTGAATCCCAATTCTCTATCTTTCAGCTGTATACCTTTCATTCCAGAGTTGTGGGAATTGGTCAAAAAGAAATTCTGATTTTTTTTTTTTTATTTTTGAGACAGAGTCTCGCTTTGTTGCCCAGGTTAGAGTGCTGTGGCGTCAGCTGAGCTCACAGCAACCTCAAACTCCTGGGCTCAAGCACTCCTCCTGCCTCAGCCTCCCGAGTAGCTGGGACTACAGGCATGCGCCACCATGCCCGGCTAATTTTTTCTATATGTATTAGTTGGCCAATTAATTTCTTTCTATTTATAGTAGAGATGGGGTCTCACTCTTGCTCAGGTTGGTTTCGAACTCCTGAGCTCAAACAATCTGCCCGCCTCGGGCTCCCAGAGAGCTAGGATTACAGGCGTGAGCCACCATGCCCAGCCTAAATTCTGATTATTTCTTAAAGAACCCAAGAGATCTGATACCAAAGATCAGAAATCTGATAACCTGGAACAGTGCTGTACAATGGAATTTTTTGCTGTCAACTCAAATAAATGACTGAAGCAAAATCTCAATCAATGGAGGTTTTATTAAGCCAAGATTTTGAGGAGGCACCTGGGAAAAAACACAAACTGCAGACAAGCTGTGGCTGTTTTTTCCAAAGAGATTGTTGGAAACTTCAGCATTTTAAAAGCATATATAGAGAAGGAAAAAGGTGATGAGGTAGTGGCTACATTCTTGTGAGGCCCCAGAAATCTACATTTTACATAAAATAAGGGAATGAAGGAAGCATCAACTATTTAGATGAGCCTGGGTAGAAGGAACAATGTTTGATTGTCTTGTCTCTAGTTCTGTTACCTGTAAGATAAACTTGTAATTCATTATTATTGTGGACTCTGGATAGGCTTCCATTTTAGGTGCTGGACATAGGTATAATTTGCATGTCCTTGCTTATGGGAGGTTGGCAAGAAATTTCCTTAATGAATGATCTGCGGGGCCAGCTCTTCACAGGTGCTTGCGGCTGTGATTTTCTTTTTACACTCTCCCCTGTTCTTCAAAATCTTCTGGAGAAAGCACTGTAGAAGGCCTGAGTTCATGGTCATATTATCATTATTGTTTTAATTTCATGTTACTATGAAGGTTCATTTTTAAGAGACCATGTCTCTCAGAGGAGAAAAAATTTAAGAAGGATCAATGTTGGCCAGGCATGGTGGCTCATGCCTGTAATCCTAGCTCTCTGGGAGGCCGAGACGGGAGGATTGCTCAAGGTCAGGAGTTAGAAACCAGCCTAAGCAAGAGCTAGACACCGTCTCCACTAAAATAGAAAGAAATTAATTGGCCAACTAAAAATATATAGAAAAATGAGCCGGGCATGGTGGTGCATGCCTGTAGTCCCAGCTACTCAGGAGGCTGAGGCAGAAGGATTGCTTGAGCCCAAGAGTTTGAGGTTGCTGTGAGCTAGACTGACACCACGGCACTCTAGCCCGGGCAAACAAAAAAAGAAAGAAGGACCAATGTCAAAAAACTGTAGGTAAATAAAACTCAAAAATGATGGACAAAGCCAGAATCCAATAATGAGTTTACTTACTATAAATTTTTTGAAACCATTTTCTTTCTCTAGTTTTTCATTGCAATGATGGAAATGTTCTAAACCTGCATTGTCTAATAAGGCAGACACTACCAAGCATCTAAAATGTAGCTAATGCAACAGAAGAACTGAATTTTTTACTTTATCTTATTTAATTTAAATTTAAAGTTAAATAACTACATGTGGCTAGGGGCTACCATAATATCCATCACAGTCCTGGAAACTTGCCCAGCCCTGATCAATCTCAGATTCCTAAGGCTTGAAGTTAAGACCCTCATACTCTAAACTCACAGTGGTTACTTATTTCACCTCCCATTCCTCTTCACAGAACTAGTCCCACTTGTCCTTCCCTCTCTCCTCCTTCTACCAAATACAAATACATACAGGTCTACTTCACTTTATTGCACTTCACACTTTTGTTATGCTTCACAGATATTGCACCTTTTACAAACTTAAGGTTTATGCCAACCCTGCCTCAAGCAAGTCTTTCAGCACCATTTCCCAACAGCATGTGCTCACTTCATGTCTCTGTACCACATTTTGGTAGTTCTCACAATGTTTCAAACTTTTTCATTATTATGATATCTGTTATGGTGATCCACAATCAGCAATCTTTGATGTTACTGGAAGAAAATGCCATCTAGGACTTTCAATAACTAGAAAGGAGTCAATGCCTGGCTTCCAAGCTTCAAACTAGGCTAGGGGCTAATGTAGCTGGTGGTGACTTTAAGTTGATGTCAATCTTCATTTACTATTTTGAAAATCCTAGGGCCCTTAAGAATTATGCTACATCTACTCTGCCTGTGCCCTATAAATGGAACAACAAAGCTAGATGACAGAACAACTGTTTGTGGCATGGTTTAATGAATATTTTAAGCCCTCTGTTGAGATCTGCTGCTCAGAAAAAAAAGATTCCTTTCAAAATATTACTGCTCATTCACAATGCACCTGGTCAACCAAGCGCTCTTATGAAGATGTAAACAAAAGAATTCGTGTGACTCACTTAATTGCAATATTAGCTTTGTTGCAATGGTCTAGAACTGAACCCACAATGTCTTTAAAGTATGCCTGTACATCCTTCAGGTATAATGCAGTGAAACATATCTCCCAAATAAGTCATTCTTGGAGGGTGAGACGGGGGTGTGGGGTAAAACCTTACCTATTGAGTACAATGAACACTATTCTGGTGATTAAAAGCCCTGACTTAAGCATTATACAAAGTATCCATGCAACAAAAACACTTGTACCCTCCTAATTAAAGAGTACGCTGAAACAGCCCACAGGCGCAGGAGGGAAGGATGGAGCAACGTCTGCCGAGAAATAAGCCGTGAGAGCATCATTCAAAGCACATCTTTAAAGAGTAGTAGCAGCCCGGGCCTAATGCCCACACTCGAGGCTTCCAGAGAGAGGAGATAGGCTGACAACTGCCTTACCTCGAGACGGCGGAGACCGATACATTCACGTTACTACGTCCGTGCCTCTCCACTTCCGGCGCTGCGGGATGATGTTAGAGAGACCGGCTTCAGGGCAACTAGTGACGTCACCAGTGCCTCTCCGAGGATTGGTTGAAAGGGTCTCGCCCATGCCTAGATCAAAAAGCGGCCCGCCCTCCCGGGCCCCAGTTCGGTTCTCACTGAGCTGTGGTTCAGGTGAGGTTCCTGGCAGTTGTCATAGTGGGGACGAGTTCTCTCAGCATCCCTCTGCCTGAGGGCCACTCGCCTGTCACTGCCTCGCAGTCTCTGAATTGAGAGAGACTTCAGGCAGCAATCTACTCGGTAGCCGTTTGCGGGCGGCCGTGCAGCCTCTTGGCACTCCCTTCATAAAGAAATGTTCACAACAAAGCTCACGGCCATCTTGCCCGCTGTAGGCAGTACCTGCTGTGTAGCATTACCGCCCTTTTCTAAATTTTGATCTGCTTTCTCTCTTTTGGAGGGAGAAAAGACTGGAGGGGCGAGAGGCAGGGGAATTGTAAAAGTTAGTGATGACAGAACGAAAACCTAGTGAAATATAAATTTAAATTTAATTCATATATCCAAAAACTTCCTGCAAGAACTGCAACATTGCCATCAGGCTTCCTCTGGCCCCAGGAGCCTTTTCTAACCACATACAGGCCAAAAGTGAGGGGATTTATACTCCTGGGAGGAGTATGCAAATGATGTTACATCATGAGTGGATAAACTTGTTTTCTCACCCCTGGGATGAAACAACTTTGAAGCATGTACTACACTGTCTCCGGTGCAAGACAGCCTCAGCTTCCCAGAAAGGTAACCTGCACTTTAATCCACCCTGTGCTGGGTTCCTTCCCATCCTTGTCTCACTTCTTCACTCCCATACTGGTACTTCTTGAGATAATCTCTAAACAGAACACTAGCACTCAAACCCTTGTGTCAGTGTCTGGTTCTGAGGGAATCCAACATAATGTACTTTTCCTATTTTCTAATGATATCATTTTATTTAGTTAACATTATTATTATTTATTATTATTTAATTTTGAGCAGTCATTCGATATTCCCGCGGATGTGCCACTGGGCACACCACATCAAGCAACCTCAATCTGCCAAACATACATCAGACCCCTGAGTGACATGAACTACAGCATGCGCCAGACAAACCGGCTAATTTTTCTAACTAAATTATGGCGAAACATCACATAGTAGAGACGACAACACAGGCTGGTAACAACAAAACACATCGCCCTGCCTCAGCCTCCAAGTGCAGATAAGCGTGGAGCAGAACCTTGCCTGGCCTATTACCTTTTTAAAATAATAATACCCCTACTTCACAATGTTTTGTCATGGCCAAAATAATATAACAGATTCGATGGCTTGGGGAACAGACTTGGTAAAAATGTCATTATATTCTTATAATAATTAAACAGAATAGTGGCGAAAGACAAGACACTGACCACTACTGGACTAGACGGAGATAAGCAGGATTGAGACCAAACTGAGCCCAAGTAGACCCCCGTCTACAAGAATAGAAAAAATTTATACAGGAGTGGTGGCACACACCTGTATACACCTGCCATGGAGGCACATGAAGTAGAAAATCACCTAGTCGCAGAATGAGGTTGTAGGAGTGTTGACAACCACGCTCAGTGCATGGTGATGTTACATTATGACAGACAAAAAAGAAAAGAGATTAACAACATAGAAAATAATAACAATCTTGGCTAAATATCCAAATAAAACATTTTTCATGAGAAACTGAAACATGTTTCTGTGAATGCAACCTTTATGACATTAGGTCTTCTGATGAAATAGCTATACAATTTCTGATTAAGATTTTTTTTATAATCATCTTTTCAAATTCTTGGTAATCATACCTGTAATTGGCACACCAGTAGAGAAGTTCTGTTCTATACAACAATGTAAATATTATGATGTATCCATAAACTATACCCTACTATTTAAAACCTTCCACCTATAATTTACACTTTATTGTTTTCAAATCCTGCTTTTAGAACTGGATAACTTCTCCCACTATGTGCTATTTTCATACTTGACTCTCCCTCAAGGATTTAATTTCCAAGAATTTAGGGACAGTCATTGTAATCCCAAGTACTGACTTTCATATCATCAGTGGTTCATGGGAGAACTTTTATTTCATTTCAGCAATACTTATTTCTGTAAATAACAGAGGTTGTGGCAGTCTATCCCAAAATTTCTTACAAACATTAAGAAGAAAGACACAGGAATTCCTTCTAACTTATCCTGCCTTGCCTTCCACTATCTCTTCATTCTCAGACATATACTAGCAATACTGACTTCTTACCCTTTCTTCCACCCCAGTACATCAATCTATTCCTTGATGTTCATGCTCTTCCCTCTGGAATGTTCTTCTTTCTTTCCTCCCTAATTCATTCTTGCCCTCTCCAATCCAGTCACACTACAACTAGAGAAAATATTTCAAAACATAAATCTGATCATGTCACTCCCCTGCTTAAATCCTTTCATGGATTTCTACTGCTCATCCAATTAAGAATAAACTTGTTCAGTCTTAGTTTTAGAGAGGATCTGAGTTATCTAATCTTTTTTTTTTCCTTTTTTTTTTTCTGTCTCACTTATGCTAGAAACAGTTATCTCTCTAATTGTATCTGTCACTCTCCTTACCTATCTATGTGCCCAAACACAGGGGCTTTGTTTCAATTTGTTGAACTTATTCAGTCAAGTTTCTTGGGTTGGAACCTAGAAAACCTCTCTGGTTACTTTAAACGTTGATGGGGCTGCCCTCTGTACCATCCCCAAACCATATTAATCCTATACTATCTAGATCCTCAACCTCACAATCATAGATAGACAATAGCGGTTCCCAGAACAGGAAGGCCTGGGATCTTGGCATTGTCAGATCTGTTCCTCCTACAGGTCTAGTGGAAGGGACCTGGCTGTAGGAAAACCACAGGGACACCTGCATCCCACATTCTCCAGGGGCTTGGCCTTCAGCCAGATGAAACCAAAGCAGCTCCAGCTCTGGTACATTTATTCATTTATTCAACTCTTTGAGCACCTTGCGTATCAGGCATCTTCTGGCAGCTGGGCTATCACAGTGAACAAAACAAACTTCCTACTTTCAAGGAACTTTAGACAGCATAGAAAGTGGTAAGGATATTTTTTGTATTGTGAAAGGGCTCTCCTGAGCACAGATCTGAGAGAAGACAGAAGTCATGTGGCTATCTGAAAACCATGAAATGATTTTAATCAGGAGAGTGACATATTTGAAAAAGAAATAACTCTTAATTATTTTACAGCATCAGGATCTTAAAGAAAGTGAATTGTTTTGCCCCATATCTTTTTGTCAGAAAAAACTTGATGAAACTCTCACGGAAACAGCTTCAATTTGCTGTAAACACTTTCTATGGGATCCCATAAACCCATGATATGACATCAAAATCTACTATGCAAGATTTTTTTTAGTATCTTCTTGCACATGGCAACAACTTAATTTTGTTTGAAAATTGATGTATTATGAATAAACTACAACAGCCTCAACAAAACGAACAAGAAAACTCAACTCAAGCAATGGCAGTTATGCAAGATCTTCTCTAATGCTTCTGACTGATTTATAAGCCCCATTGTTTTCCTACACCACACACTTCCATGATAGCATTTGTGTGTGTATACTGTATTATAAAAATATAACATATATAAAAAATATAAATAATGGACGTTAGCTAATAACATATTAATACTGGTTCATTAGTTCTGTCAACTGTACCATTTTAATGTAAATGTTAACAATACGGAAGACCGGGTACTGAATAACAGGAACCCTGTACTATTCTTGTAACTTTTCTGTAAATCTAAAACTATTCTAAAATAAAAAGTGTATTTAAAAAAATAATGGGGGAGGAGTGTTGGAATGGAGGAGAGAGCTCATAAAGAAGACTGAAACCATGTGTAATCAGAACAAATTGATGCCACTCAATATTTCCGGCCCCATTAGGCCTCACAGTCAATTAAAAACTAAATATTCCAAGAAATTTAAATTAATTTATGTAAATATTAAAATGGCATTTTAGTTAAGATTTCCATTTGTTCTTTCCAATATTTTCCTTTTCTTTTCTTTCTTTCTTTTTTTTTTTTTTTTTTGAGACAAGAGTCTCACTCTGTTGCCTGGGCTAGAGTGCCATGGTGTCAGCCTAGCTCACAGCAACCTCAAACTCCTGAAATCATGAGCATGCGATCCTCCTGCCTCAGCATCCTGAATAGCTTGGGAATACAGGCACACGCTACCACACCCAGCTAATTTTTTCTATTTTTAGTAGAGACAGGGTCTCTGGCTCAGACTGGTCTTGAAATCCTGACCTCAAGTGATACTCCCTCTTTGGCCTCCCAGAGTGCTAGTATTACAGGCTTGAGCCATCACTCCCAGATGTTTTTCTTTTTAATTTAAAGAAAAAGGCATAGCAGTTCTATTCATTCAAAACTAGACTCACATTTTCACCCACCTAATTCTGCTCCCACCATGGCTTTTCTTCTCCTCCTCTCTCTGAGCTCCCCGCCTCAGGAAGGGCATCCCCAACCATCCCATTGCTCAAACCAGAAAGTTGGAAGCCACTCCTTCTTCTTCACCTCTGGAGCCAGACACCATGACCTGCAAATTCCACCTCTGTATTAACATTTATATTTCCCTCCCTCTCCATTTCTATTGTATAGACCTCATCACTTCTGATCTGATCTCTCACCATAAAAACCTCATAAGGGCGGGTGTGGTGGCTCACGCCTGTAATCCTAGCACTCTGGGAGGCCGGCCGAGGCGGACAGATCCTTGGAATTCCAAGAGTTCCAGACCAGCCTGAGCAAGAGTGAGACTCTGTTTCTACCAAAAATAGAAAGAAATTAATTGGCCAACTAAAAATATATATAAAAATTAGCTGGGCATGGTGGCTCATGCCTATAGTCCCAGCTACTCGGGAGGCTGAGGCAGGAGGATCACTTGAGCCCAGGAGTTTGAGGTTGCTGTGAGCTAGGCCGACGCCATGGCACTCTAGCCTGGGCAACATAGTGAGACTCTGCAAAAAAAAAAAAAAAAAAAAAA